CTTTGGGTTCTATGACTAAACAAAGTGTTCTTAGACGTAACACCAGAAACATCATCCATAAAAGAAAAATTTGTTACCTTAGACTTCATTAAAATTAAAAACTTTTGCACCACAACAGAGAGAAATTGATAAATTTGACTTCTTCAAAATTAAAACCTTTTAGGGCCGGCTCGGTGGCGCACTGCTACAGTGCGCCGGTTGGGAAGCACGGCAGCGCTCCCACTGAGGGTTCGGATCCCACATACAGACCGGTTCCCGCTCACTGGCTGAGCGAGGCGTGGGAGCGACACCAAGGGTTGCGATCCCGTTGCTGGTCCCGGTCCGGTGCGGGCGCGACACTGAGGGTTGCGGTCCGTTGCCAAACATGAAAAAAGACAAAAAAAAAAAAAAAAAAGATGTGCTTCCACCCATCTAAGGTTAAATTCTACAGTTGTGACTAGGAAAAAAAATCTCCAGTTGTGTGCTTGATTCCATCCCTATGGGTCTTCAGAGATCTTGCTTCATCACATATACCTTCTCCTGAATCTTCACATTGCCCTCCCTCCTTTCTGGCTTCTTCCCATTAGTATTTCAGTATGCTCAAATATTCCCCATCCCACTCCCCCACCACACACACAAAATCCTCACCACAATCTCATGTCCTTTCTTCTTCCTCCAGCTTTAGCTTATTTCCTATTTACAGCCAGATTTCTGAGATGTTCATGTTTAATATCCCTATATTATCTCCCATTCCCTGCTGATCCCACTGCTAAATGGCTTCTACTTTCAAAACTCCATTAATATGGTTGCTCCCTATGTCAAAAGTTTCCTTTTTCCCAATCACAATGGCCAGTTCAGGTTTGTCTCCTGGTTCCTTTGAAAGCCTCATATTCCTGGGCTTTCTGCCCTCTTCTCGTCATCCCTTCTCAATGGGATCCCCTTTCTTCCACTATGTATTTAAACACATTGGTGCCTCTGGCTTCTTTCCTCTGTCCTCTTTTTCTTACCACACTTTCGTGGATAATCTCATCTACTACATTGACTACAGTTGCCACTTTTTTATTTTTCCCAAATCTGTATCTCTAGAACAAAGCTCTCTCCTGAGATTCAGACCTATAAATCCAGCTGTCTACTCTTACATATCTCATGGACTACTCAAAATATATCTAATCCTGAACTAATCATACCCACTCTCTCTATATATAACTTTTCTTGCTCTTTTTTTTTTTTTGTCTTTTTCATGACTGGTAAGGGGATCGCAACCCTTGGTGTGGTGTTGCCCGCACCGTGCTCAGCCAGTGAGCACACTGGTCATCCCTATATGGGATCCGAACCTGTGGCAGGAGCATCGCTGCGCTCCCAGCGCTGCACTCTCCTGAGTGCGCCACGGGGCCGGCCCCCTAACTTTTCTTGCTCTTCCTCCCAGTTCCATGTTTGTCAGTGTCCACTGCCACCATATAGCACAGTAGTTAAGAGTGCTGGTTCAAAAGCTAGACTTTCTAGGTTCAATAGCTCACTCTCTCTTGCATATTATCCAGCTGTGTGATTTTGGACCTCGTAAGTACCTCAGTTCTCATCACTCACAATATGTTACTTACCATTAGTTCGGATCAGTAGCATCTCACCTTGGATTATTCTTACAGCCTCTTAAGAGTTTGGCCCCACTCTAGCCCTTCTCCAATCCAGTCTCCTCAGTGTAGCCAGCAGTCTTTCTAAAATGCAAACCTAATCATGTTATTCCTTACTTTAAACCCATTCATGTTTTCTCATTGTCTTCAGGAAAAGGTTTAAACTCTTTAGCAATGTACATAAGGTCTTTAAAATCTGGTGCCTGTTAAATACTAAATCCTGCTCTTATTCCTGTCCTCCACCTATCACTTGCAAACCAGAACTAACTGTATATCCTCTGATTTATCATGCTATTCTTTGCCTCTGGGTTTCTGCATATGCTGTCATCTCTGCCTGTAAGCCCTCTTCTTCTAAACTTCTCTTCTCACCATACACATACATGTGGCTAGATCAACTGATACTTCTGGCTTTACTTCTCTTTTGGTTATCACTTCTAAAAAGCCTTTCTGACTCCTAAAATTGGTGAGATGCACCCCAACCAGGTCCATAGCAGCCCATACCTACTTTTGTCTTAGCCTTTATTTGTTAATCTCAATCATAATTGCTTGATTGTCAGTTAGGCTTTAAGTTCCTTGGAGATAGTGACTATACCTTGTTCGCAACTATATTCCCCAGTGGTCAGCATAGTGATGGATATTCAGTAAATATCTGTTGAATAAATTAATGAGTGTGCACTGTTTACACACCCTTTTAATTAACTATATCTAGAATTTAAAATGGTACACCTATCATGTCACCAGTTTACAAGCCATTTAACGTAGAAGGGATTTCTTATTTTTTCTATCACACAACTTATAGAAGAAACGATCTGAATACAGATACACCAAATTTTGTAAGATGCAAGTAACCTGCAGTAAGATTAACTTGACTGCTAAGTTTTAGAAGAAATTTTAAAAGATTACATTGAGGCCGGCCCGGTGGCGCACTGATACAGTGCGCCGCTTGGGAGCGTGCCGGCGCTCCCGCCGAGGGTTCGGATCCCACATACAG